TTTGGTGTCACTCACGATAGAAAACATATTCGGTGTAAGAGGTCCAGATCCTGTCATCTGTCTGGTCATGGGCGAAGGCACAGGTGCCTGTGGAGTTGCAAGCCACCATGTGGAAGCCAGCATCGGCCAGTTTATCAAAGGCTTGCTCCAGGAAGGTGAATTTGAGGTAGTACCTGGAGGTGTACCTCTCCGGGGGCCTGTCCGGGTCCCTGCTCTCATTCAAGGTATCCCCAAAGACCTCCTTGGCCAGCGACGTCTTGCCACAGACCATGATCCGTGCCACCCTGCGGAACTTGGCATCCGTCTGGCTGTCCCTGCCCAGGGTGTAGGAGCCCCGGTAGCCGATGGTGATGAAACCTGCCCTGCGGACGTCGGTGCCGGCAGCACCCACGCCGGCAGTGACGGCACCCCCGGGACCACCAGCCACGGCGCTGGGGAGCGTGGCACTGGCAGAGGTCAGGTTGCGGGTGGCGTCTGCATTGGGGGAGAGCTCCTCTGGGTCGCTTTGGCATGGGTCGTCTCCCAGCGAGTTCTGCTTGCTGAGCTTGGGGGCCAGCATCTTCACAAGCTCCGGCAGCATGAAGTATTCGGCCTCTCGCTGCAGGCGGCTCCTCTCCGGGAAGTGGTCGGGCAGCACCAGCTGCTGGTCCCTCCTTTAATCCAGAGGAAGCCGTCACGATCCACGAAGAACCGTCCCTTGCTGTCGCGGGCCAGGGAGCGGACGTTCTTCTGGGTGAACATCTCCCAGAGGAGCGAGCCAGGCACGCTGACCAGGGTGGGGTGGCGGGTGATGTAGACTTGTCCACCCACATTGAGTTCAATGATCTCGGGGAAAGGGAAGTCCTCGCTGGGTTTGGCACAGCCCGCGTTGTCTGCCAGGGCCATAGTGAGCTACCACTGCCTTCCCACCTGCGACAAAAAGCAGCAACGTGCCAATGTTAAGCCTCCCAGCAAACGCAGCTCATCGTCCCACCGATCCCAAGCCAGATCACACTTGCTTTGGGTCAGCAAGCAGTGCAGGATCGGGTCCCTGTCTCTCCAGGAGTCTAGAAGTCAGCTCTCTTCCCTAATCCCTGGTTCTTGGAATAAGCAGCGTTAGCTAACGCCGCCTTCCCTTCCATGCCACAAGAAGGGAAGAGCATTGCCCACGGCCTGAACACGCCGTCTCCACCTGCAGCCCTCCCAACAGTCAGCTCCCGTGGCTGGGGCTCAGCACCTTTGCCAAGGAAGGCGCAGTGACGCCGTACTGATGTTAACAACATGAAAGCCAGGACCGTCACGCCCTGGCTCTGACCAGCGACCCGCCTGGCCCAGCATCCTGCCGGTCAGGAGGAGGTGCCGAGCGTGCCAAGGGAGGACCGCATTACGGCGCAGCGTCTCCCGCCGAGCCGGTGAGCTGCAGGGGAGTTTATGGTCCCACGCAAGGAGCACCCACAAGTCTGCCAGAAAAGCAACGCTAGATACCACTATAAAGGACAGAGTGACAGTGCCTTTTGGCACTTCTGTTCCGTCCTTGCTCCTGGGAAGTACTCGATAGAGACTCGAGGCCAAGCTGAGAGCAGGTGAGGGATGGCAGAATCTCGCCAAGGGTCTGGGACCAAGACAAATACTGGGCTACCGGTACAGCCTCCGGCCGGATGCCATGTTTTTATATATTTTCCAAAGGCAAGCTGGTTCTTAACCATCTTTTGACACTGCAAATCAGCGCTTACATAAACCTGGCTCAGCAGATGGACTCCAGATCCAGCCTGGCCAAGCCATGCTCCGCGCAGGGATTTGGGAGACCAGGGAGAGAAGGGGTTTCCTTGCGCTGTCCCTAACTGCCTGGCGGGGTTGGCCTGAAGCTCTGCCCACTCCCCTGCGCGATGTTGGTGCAGCCCTGGGACCGCTTTGAAGTCGGCAGTAGCTGCCTGCACCCTCCCGGGGACCGGTCCCGCTGCCAAGAAACAATGCGAAAGGATCAGCAGCAAAGGATCCTGACGCAAATTTCAGAGCAAAATAAAGCGCAAAGATAAAACTCTGTGGGCACTTTGGGGTGCTGGGGAGAGCTGAGCCTGCATTTCACGGCCACGCTCCTCCTCCCAGCTTGTAGGGATGTTCAGGGAGAATCGGTTTTGCACAAGGAGCGACTTGGGCAAGCCTCTGCCAAGGGAGAGACTGCAAAGATCGGAAAGAGGATCAGATCAGCGCGGTCCACCTGGCTTCCAGCTTCCCAAATCCTCACCCGCAGTG